AATTATCTTTATTAGCTCTTTTAATTGTTATTGTTGTATTTATATTTATCTAACAATCAAAACACATTACCTGGTTATTGACCGGGTTAAACGGACTAGAACTAGTTAAAGAAGTAAAGCTCAGGAAAAGAAAGTCAACTTGGGAGGATTGCGGAATGCTTAGTTTGTACTATTTCTACAAAATTTTTAGGGGGAGAGAATAGTCAAAATTGTCAATTATGATTTAAAAAGCTCAGTAATAATTTATTTATGGTAGTCAGTGCTAATCCAGCCAAACAGAGAGGGTTGCTGTAAGATTATGCAAACCCAGTTTGGTCAGAATGGAGTAGAACATCGAGGAGAAAACTCATCAGAGAAAATTCTGTCCGTCTCTAAATTATTGTTGATTGCCGGTTCTTACTTAGGCTTTGAAATGTCAACACGTAGTTTTATCTTTTCCATAAAATGATTAATTTAGGAATCATCTTGTTGCCTCATATTCAAGGAGGGAAGGGACCTAGCTGAGTCGTGCTCGAATACTGTCAAGCTGAATCTCATCTCATTTTAGAATTAAAAGCTAAGTTTCAAGTTTGCATAACTTGAACACTGCTTTGCAGATCAATAAAATAAAAAATAATAAAATAATAAAATAATAAAAATAAAACCTCCAACTCTGCTAAAACTCAGATTGTTGCACAATGAATATTGTCCCTGCATTCGTTCAGTACCAATCCTTAATTTTGCAAAATTACCAACCTATATATACCATTAATTTTCTACCAATAACTCAGGCTGCAAGTTGCCATTTGCCAATGACAAAAAAAATCAATTTACCAAACAACACCTTAAGACCGGCAAAAGCCAGAAGATTAGTAAATTCAAACAAGCATGCCAAGAGTCCAGTAATCTCAAACGTACAATAAACACACTTGTTTATTATCAAAACTAATTTGTACTAGGTAAAATATGAAAATTAGCGAGGCAAAGTAATGCCTAGTGAACCAGGTTCACTTGTTTTGATGACAAAAGTACTAGTGATATCATAATTGGGTATAGGCATCTTACATTTTAGATTGGGCAGCACTGCCTCAAAATTTATTTTCTTAGGTAAAGCAAAACTGTATTTTTTTTTTTTGTGTCAAAGGGAGCAAAAGAAAGTCAACTTGGGAGGGTTGCGAAGTGCCTAGTTGGGAAATCTAGAGAAGCTTTAGGGGAAAGAACGATCAAAATTGCCAACTGCTCCAATAACTTAATAATAATTTTTTTATATATAAATAAGAGATCATAAATTAAAATTAAATGATATACAAATGAAATAAATTAAGTAATAAGAGAATATTATTTCAACCAATATAAAAGAAGAAGAAGAAGAAGAATGGTCAAAACTCTTGAAGGGGAATTCGAAATCACATGCCTAACGTGTAATTAGGAGTACCATGGAAAGGCAAAAAGACCACAGGCTCCAGTGTATAGTCTATTCTTAAAATGGAGTAACTTGGGAGAAATTAGGTTTGATATCGGTGAAATTGCAGAAAAAGTGTAAAGCATTAGCCAATTCCATTAGTTTTCTAGTTAGTAACCCAAAAGCACAAATTAATCCCTTACCGGCTTACCGTCTCAGTTACTGATTAACAGAAATTTTAATCGCTTACGGGGACAGCTTAGAGGCATAAAAATGCCATAAAAGTAGAAAATACAAACTGAAATGCCAAGAATACATTAATCTCAAACACTAAAGACACTTGTTTTCTAGAAAGAACATACACACTTGTTTATTATTGAAAAAAGAAGAAGAAGAAGAAGAAGAAGAATTTGTATGAGGTATGACATGTGAATTAGCGTGGCATAGTAATGCTAATTGAACCAGATTCACCTGCTCCGGTGACTGAAGTACCAGGTTCCCTTGTTCCAATGACTGAAGTACCAAGGATATCATAATTGAGAATAGGTCTCTTACTTGGTAGATTTGGAAGGTCTGCCTCAAAATTAAGCACCTGGATTGCTTGCCTCATTGACGGTCTCATAATGGGGGAAGGATATGCGCACCATAAACCAACAACCAACAAACACTCCATCTCTTTCGCATTAAAATTTGTAGCGAGGTTCCCGTCAGCAATATCAAGAAGCACTCGGTTCTCATATGCTTCCCAAGCCCAAACCAACAAATGCTCATCACAG